CTCGGAGAGCTCATAGGGCCTCCAATGGCAATGGCTCGGAGAGCAATGGCTCGGAGAGCGGAACCATTGCTCTCCGAGCCCATGGTGGGGGTGGGTGGTCACCTCTGTCGCCGAAAGACAAGCCAGGTTGGTTTCTCAGCGGCCCAGTGCTCTTGGCAACAGGGGGTGCCTGCAGAGTGCAGCAGGCAACAGAATCTGGCTCCAGTCAACAGGGAGCCTGCAGAGTGCAGGGCGGTCAGGACAACCCGCTACGCACCCCTTAAGGGATCCCCCACGAAGCCGCCGTGGGGATCCGCAAGTGCAGAGTTCGCAATGGCAACATAGGGCCTCCAAGTGGAGGTCCCCGAAGGAGGTTGGCATCTCGGGGGAGCGATCACAGCTCCCTACACAGCTCCGAACAGGGTTAGAGCTCGGTGTGCCGCCGTGGGGATCAGCAGTGCAAGCACACGAAGCCGCCGTGGGGATCCGCAGTGCAGGCAACAACCCAAATCGCCACGCTGCAAAACCAGTGGTGGGCAGGCAACAGAGTCTCTCAGCCGCCGCCGCCGCCTCCGAGGGGCTTTGCTTTTCGCCTCTGCAGGGACACTGGGTCCACAGGAGACGCAGGCTCCGGAGCGACTCTCGCCACGTCAAGCTTCACCTCTGTCGCCGAAAGACAAACCAGGTTGGCATTTCAGCGGCCCAGTCCTAAGCCGTGAACTGACGTCCAAGTAGGGTCCCAGCAAGGAACCTGTGGCGAAGGCAAGAGAGGCCGTATAAGGCTCTTGAATACAGAATGCTATTCCTGCCAGTAATCTTGATTTCTCTTATACTTCCTCTTATAATTTCTTATATAATTTCCCTTATGATTTCTTTGAATTATTATTAAATAAAGCCGAACTTGTATCTGACGAATTCATTCACTTAAGGAGGCGAGTTTTAGTCTTCTGGTTGATGCAAGTGAATTGCATGGGTGCAAGTGAAAGAGGAAGAGCATCAGGGTCCGCTGGGACCCCATGGTGGGGGTGGGTGCAAGGATCCTGGTTCCGGAGAACAGTGCTACAGCTCCGCCACACGTGGCCAGTGCCGAGCGATCACAGCTCCCTACACAGCTCCGAACAGAGCTATGCCAATGGCTCTCGGAGAGCAAAAGCGAGGCCCTCATCGGCAAGGCAAATTGGAGGTCACGAGCAACCCCAATGGCTCTCGGAGAGCAAAAGCGGGGATCCCCCACGAAGCCGCGGCCCGTGGTGATCCGCAAGTGCACAGCTCCGAACAAGCACCAAGTGCAGAGCAGCACGCTCAAATGGCTCTCGGAGAGCGGCCCAGTGGTGCCCGCCGCCGCCGCTGACCAGGGTAATGGGCGGTCACTTAAGGAGGCTAGAGCTCGGTGTACCGGAAGCCGGACGCTTGATGCAACGAAGGAGAACAGTGCTACAGCTCCGCCACACGTGGCCAGTGCCGAGCGATCACAGCTCCCTACACAGCTCCGAACAGAGCTATGAACCTGCCACGATGTGGCCAGTGCCGAGTGCTCACACTGCTTGAGCAAGGATCCTGAATTGCAGCTCCCGAGACAGAGCTCCGAACAAGCACCAACCTCGGGGTTGAGAAAGCTTAAATGGCTCTCGGAGAGCGGCCCAGTGGTGGCAGGCCCGCCGCCGCCGCTGCTCTCGGAGAGCGGCCCTACACAGCTCCGAACAAGCACCAAAATGGCTCTCGGAGAGCGGCCCTACACAGCTCCGACGCTCAGTCCTAAGCCGTGAACTGACGTCCTAGTAGGGTCCCAGCAAGGAGCCTGTGGCGAAGGAAGAGGACGGCCAGACCAGGGTCCTGGCAGTGCAGGGTTCACGAGCAACCCCGAGGCTCCAGGCCCAGTCCTAGGCCGGCCCTTGATGGCCATGGAAAGGAAAGAGAGGCCGTATAAGGCTCTTGAATACAGAATGCTATTCCTGCCAGTAATCTTGATTTCTCTTATACTTCCTCTTATAATTTATAATATAATTTCCCTTATGATTTCTTTGAATTATTATTAAATAAAGCCGAACTTGTATCTGACGAATTCATTCACTTAAGGAGGCGAGTTTTAGTCTTCTGGTTGATGCAAGTGAATTGCATGGGTGCAAGTGAAAGAGGAAGAGCATCAGGGTCCGCTGGGACCCCATGGTGGGGGTGGGTGCAAGGATCCTGGTTCCGGAGAACAGTGCTACAGCTCCGCCACACGTGGCCAGTGCCGAGCGATCACAGCTCCCTACACAGCTCCGAACAGAGCTATGCCAATGGCTCTCGGAGAGCAAAAGCGAGGCCCTCATCGGCAAGGCAAATTGGAGGTCACGAGCAACCCCAATGGCTCTCGGAGAGCAAATTAAGGGATCCCCCACGAAGCCGCCGTGGCGATCCGCAAGTGCAGAGTCCGCAATGGCAACATCAATAGCGAGGCCCTCATAAGCTCGCTTCTGCCGCCAAGACAAGCTTTAAGTAAATTGCAGCTCCCTACACAGCTCCGACCAAGCACCCAACCCAAGCTTTAAGTAAATCGGAGGTCACGAGCAACTAACCTGGCCGTGCGGAACGATTTTTGACGCAGGCAGACGAGGACGTCCTAGTCGGGCAGCGGTCCGCTCCGCCGCCGCCGCCGCCCACGCAAGGCCTCCGCCGCCGCCGCCGGCGATCACAGCTCCCTACACAGCTCCGAACAGGTTTCTACCGCCACGCAATGCCTCCGCCGCCGCCGCCGCCGCCGCTCAGCCGCCGCCGCCGCTCTGAGCCGCCACCGCCGCCGCCGCCGCCGCCGCAGCCGCCGCCGCCGCCGCCGGCGATCACAGCTCCCTACACAGCTCCGAACAGGGTTTACGCAAGGCCGCCGCCGCCGCCGCCGCTGCCGCCGCCGCCGCCGCTGCCGCCGCCCCGTTTACGCAAGGCCGCCGCCGCCGCCGCTGCCGCCGCCGCCGCCGCTGCCGCCGCCGCCGCCGCTGCCGCCGCCCCCGCCGCCGCCGCCGGCGATCACACCCAGGGCCTCCTAAGACCCCGTGAGGAAGGTAACCAGGGCCTGGTTCCGAATCTACGTGGTCCCCAAGTACTGGTTCCAAAAAGTGTTGGTTCCAAGCTCGGGCTTGGAACCAGGTCGTGTCCAGGAGACTTTGTGCAGGTAGCACATGAGATGATTCTGCATCGAAAATGCATCGTTTAACATGCAAAAGTGCCATATTCATCGTCAAAAATCAACATCGAAGCAGAAAAGCAGCTAAGGAAGTACAGGTTTGGTGCTAAAAGCACGCTCCAGCCACGGTGCTGCGGAAATAACCGTGCTCTCAGCTACAGACCCGCGCAGCCCGCACATGTTTGGGCTGATTCCCCCCCGCTATGTGCCCGTGCCGTTGCCCTGAAATCGTGTTCTCGGCTACAGACCGTCCCTCCGCTCGTTGTGTTACGGGAGAGTCGAAAAGAAAAACACACACGGGAAAACCCTCGCTCTCTCTATATCACCCTCATCATCCTCCTCATCAGCATCAGCTTGCCTGCACAGACCTATTTTCTGACATGCACACACTCATCGTCGCCATGCCATGACATTTGTGTCGTCCTCCCTAGAACTCGTCATCATCATCGTTGCATCATCGATCGGGATCATGATCATGACGACATACATCTATATGTTCATCATGTTACCACTCAACAGGCCACACCATCACACACCATTATTGTCATCACCTAGGCTCCTCTTATGCTACGGAGTACATATATATATATATATATGGCTAGATTTCCGGGTCTCTCAAGGTTTGGAGTGCAGGGTGGCCTTGTTTTGGGTGCATGGGTCAGCAAGGTTCCAGGGCACTAGAACGTTTACGGTGTAATTCAGGACATGGCTTTTGGACCCTGGCTTCGAAGGGCTAATTATTTGCAGGACATAATTATAAGGGCAAGGGTTTCGTTCGGGATCTACAGGCCTTACGAAGGTCTAGGGCTTCTGAGCGTTCACAGCTTAAAGCTCGGCTCTTCTTGTACTAGGCTTCGAGGGCATTGCAATTGACTCAGCTAGCATAGAGTGTTTGGGGTGTTGAGGTAGTCTTGAGATCCTTTGGACTCTCGCACCCTCGAGTGCATACGACAAATTAAACTTAATGGATTTAAGGGCCGAGGGTTGAGTCGATCGGTGGCCCTTTTTTGCAGTGCCGGATCGGAGCTCGAATGGTTGCCAGCCACAGCATGTACCTAGGCTTTCGATCGAAAGCACTAGACCACGTAATACCCAGGAAAACTAAACCTGAACCCAAAACCTTTAAACCTCCTTACTATATATATATATATATATATATCCCAAACTTCGGAAACCCCCAAGCCCGCAAACCCTTGTGACTAATGGTCACTGCAAACCGGCGCAGTGGGATATAAATTAAGTTGGGATCATTCGTACTAAATCCTCTTAAAAATATAAGATTTAAAACTTTATAATTACATGAGGTATAGGTTATAATATAGTTTTATTCAATTTATAAATTATTTTAAAAGGATTTAGTACCAATGATCCCAACTAATGCCAAAAAATCAAAGTTGGAACAGGGTATGTTAGGAGGATATATAATTAGCTAGGATCCTTTCTGTACTAAGGGCATGAGGATAATGATGTTCCAACTTTGGATTTCTGGCATTCGATAATCTTACAAACCCTAAACGTCCCCTATAATCCCGAAAACCCTCCATATAAAAAGACCCACGAGGGACGACTCCAGATTCGAGTGGCAGTCGAAGTGGCACCTGGAGTTTCGCCTCGGATCGAAAGGGATCTAAAGGCCGGGCTGTGATATATAGCTAGCTAGGGTTTTATCGGGGCTTTGGGTAGCTAGGCATTATTAAGCTTGGGTATTTTGTGCGATGATATAGAGGCCCAATACGACCGTATTTTTGTGTTACTTCATTAATTTGGCTCTGGATGTGCAAGCACCAAAAGCGATTCCAAGAATGGATTCCAGACACACTGCGAAGAGCGACTCTAGTGTCTCAGGCTTCGTTCGACATCTTCAGGCCGATCGGAAAGAAGCCTGATATAGTTGCAAAGATTTTAATTCTGAATTTTCGAATGGTGTTATTATATATAGAAGGACTGCATGAATTTCGGCCCAATCCCACCTCAAGAAATACCGCTTCAACATAGAAACCTCGAAGTTTCTAGCTGTTGCGGCCACAGCCTTCTGTGCCAGAGGCTTGAGGAGTCCGAGGACGTCCTCCTCTGCGTAGTTCTGGTAGAATCTGGGATTGTAACGTTCCCGCAGGGATAAATACAGTAGCTCATCCAGCGCGTGGAGTTTCGGTCGCAGGAAGAAACGAAGCTGCTTTCTGGAAGCGAATATCAAAGCGGCTTCTCTGTAGAAACGAAGGCATTGCTGACCTGCAGGGAGAATTGTCATTTGCGATAAATATAAGTATCCGATTGCAATTTCGGGGTGCTGTTTGCCTCGACTGTAGAGCTGCTCACTCTCGCTGGCACTCAAGTACCGGCCCATACTCTCCAGATCATTCTGCACTTCGCTCATGAGGAACCTTATTAGTTCAATTGAACAGATCCTGCGACCTTTATTTTCTGGTATATAATCAACTGCAGACAAGCATCACACAGCTCGTGATGATCGTGTTCAAGTCGCAGCGATTTTGGAAGTCATGCTGTGACTCTTCGTTCCCACGCTGGCAGATCTTCTGTTGAATCTCTGGGTCGCAGAGCACAGCCTTGCGTGATGATGTGGCCAGCACGTACAGCTACAGTATATTATCCAAGTACGGCATTTCGACGTCGCAATGCAAATGCTATAATGAATGCGAAGCAAGTGGCAGCACACCAGGCAAGGACGATCCGACAATTGAACGCCTTGTATCCCAAAAATGGGTAGTCCTGCTCCTTCACGTGCAGGCACTTCATCGTGAAGACACGCCCGCTGCATGCCAGCTTGTTCTTGGATAGCCAGGATTTGAAATTCATAAACCCATGTCTTAGCTGCTCGTCCATTTCCTCAGCAGCTGGGCAAAAGATTCTGTGCTCGACCATCCAGAGCAATGCTTCCGCACAGAGAGTCTGAAAAATCCCCAATGCCAAAACATGCATCGCACAGAAGCGAATGATGCCCGGGTGGAAACCCTCACACAGCACCAGAGGGATGGGAGAATCGGGCATCGACTCCACCAAGCACTCTTCGAATGTTCGACGAGGGAAATCGGATCCAAAGAGGACGAAGCAGAGCTTGGCATGGTGCTTGGCGTTTCGGGTCGCACGGCACAGATGACAAATGTGGCGTGCCTGCCACTGTGTACGCAGCTGCCAGAAGATCTTGTGCCAGTCCCAATCTCCTTTGAATTCTGCCACTGCAAACTTGCGAGACAAAGATCCCTTGAGCTGGCTGTGTAGCTTTGGGATCTGCAAGCACGGATCCTCCGGGTTCGACTGCGGTCGCCGTCCAGCAAATGCAGCTTGCAAAGACCAGCAGGTGCGGTGCAGGATCGGTCTCAGTGTGACCTAATTGCAGATCCGGTTCCGTGGATTCGATTCGCCTGTATACGTACACATGTTAGATTTACAGACCTTGCGACAGAGAAAGTATGTGATGATCTTATCCGAGATGCAGCACCGGCACTTCGGTACGAATTCACCACGAAAAACATGTAAGTTTTCCGCCAGGGTTCTCCTGTGGACGATCCATTAAAAAAAAATAAAGGAAATATATAGACTGCAAATATTACAGCCTGGCCTTTAATCCGAAAGAGCGGGAATGTCAGCAGCAATGCGGTAAATTTGTCACCCTCACGGGTGAACTGCGCAGCATCCCCGTAAACCTCAGGGTTTGAGTAACTAGCTGTATGTAAGTCTCGAAAGTTTTTGGGCCTATAGGTTTTCAGGAAATCAAGGAATTCCCTAGATGATCGCTCTGCATTCCGACGAGCGAGCCTCGCATATTCTTGCTTCAAGGATTCGGATGTCGGGGCGATGTAAGCTTCGAACAAGGATGCACGATTTAGCGGCAGGAGTAGACCTCCGAGGATCCTAGTACATGATCATAGTCTCCATTGTACTTAATTACCGTACAGCACCCGCTAAATAGATATACCTAATATATATATATATATATGTATATAGCTATATAGTTATATATTAGAGCACGAAAAGTAAGTACAATGGAGACTATATTTAAAGTCTAACTAGCGACCCCTACGCTTAGTTCGTTATTGTTCCTCCAAGAAGCAGAAACTGGCACGTGGTCGTTGCCAGCTGGATGCCGCTTGGCCCATTCCACATCCAGCTGTCTGAAGTGCTCCCAAAAATTCCTAGGTTTAAGGGTCCAGGGTTAGGGTTTAGGGTTCGCTAGGGCGTTGGGTTTGGAGTCTTGCAATTTTAATAGTAAATTATATACGTATGATCATGAGGACGATGTTACTAATTATCAGCAAGTCACTGAATTTCCGTGTCCTCAATGTAAACCCTCTCGTTGACCCACAACCACTCCAACAGCTCGTGCGGGTCGAACATAGGCAATGAGACATCTATAAGTTCATCCGACTTTGCAGAATTGTTATCCAGCACTTTGGTGGGCACATAGCTCAAAGCCTCGGGCAAGCTCTGATTAATAATTACCTCCTAGATACGAGTTGGGGACTTATAGGTGTATTCATCTATTATATATTATACTACTATAATATATTATTAGTATAATAGATGAATACACCTATAAGTCCCCAACTCGTATCTCAATACTTATTATAAAACGGTTACCCCCCAGGCCCTAATTGGAATGAGCTAAGCGGCAATGGGCAGTCTCACGAACCGAAAAAGATCCCTGGTGGCGTTGCCTCTTCTCCCGAACGAGGCCAGCTTCTGTGTGCTGGCATGCATGTTTTTGTAGCCCGCCTCCTTCCAGTCGAGGGCAGCTCAATGAATTTAAGAATTGCACAGGATTCCAAGCGAGGGCTCGGGTGTACATGTTGAGGACTGATTGATCAACGTTATTATGGACCTAGCGCGCTTGGAGGGTTTTCGGCTTCGAAGTGTACACGCACTTCACAGAAATGTCACACAAATCGCCATAAGGTCCTGTTCTATAACTATGTAGAGAAATCTCTCCTCTGCCGCAGCTTTGGCAGTTTTCACTGCTTTCCAAACTGAGTCATGTCCTTCACCGACTTGTCTGAGCCTTAATAACATTGGATTAGAGTTCTATTTGATCGCGATCTCGATTCTTGAGAAGTTCTTTCGAAGCCAAGACACACATGAGCAGCGAACGGCATGTTGCTCTCCATCGCCCGGCTGCCTGGAGCGACTCCAATATCAACTCCAAGTCTCGAATGATATATATATATATATATATATACATATATATATATATATATGTATATTATATATTTCAGTCGAGACTTGGAGTTGATATTGGAGTAAGCCTAGCCTCACAACCTCTAAGCTTTATACTGACATCTTGTAAACCCATATCACTCGAAAGCCAGAGCCCTATGTATATAATTCCCGACCATGACCAGCCTTGCAAACCCTTCATCCTCTGGTGTCCTCTGCATTCCGAACGTTGAGGTTGTTTTGGGGATTATTTAGGGTCTGGAGCAATAGCATCCATGAGAAACATCACAGCAGCTGGCCAGCATATGCAAATTGCAATGAATCATTGCGGCAGGCCTGCCGGAGATCGCGATCTTTTCGTACCGAGCTCGAGGCCTGGCCGTGTTACTTCACGGGGTATTGGTTACTGGTTTTTTAAGTACTAGTGTACCTCGCCTTCTCGAGATGAGGAGCTCGGCATTCTAGATGCTGAAGGTTCACCAGGGTTGGAGAGAGATCGTGATCTCTTGCGTCTAGGTTCAGGTTCACGAGGGTCGGATCTAGATCGTGATCTCTTGCAACCTGGGTTCTGGAGTGCTCTAGATATGGAAATGGAAACTGTGGGATTGCAGTAGTCGCATTACAGCAGGCACAGCTGGAACACTCTGGCTTATAAGCCATGATGAGATCATGTAACCACAGCCCAGGAGCAGTCTCGAGTAAATCTAGATTCAGGCACAGGTCGCCCAGGTCGAGGTTTAGCCGATCGCGATCGGCTAAACGGTGCATCAGGGGTCCCCGATCCTCATGATGCTTTCTGGCTTTATAAGGGTTTTAGACTTTGTAGGGTACAGGGTGTTTGCCTAGGGTTTCGGGGCTAATTAGGCTCGAAAGGGTTTGAGGTCTCAGGGCTAATTCAGTTTCTAGGGGTCGCATGGGGTCCTGCCGTTGCATGGGTTCGTCAATGCTAGGTAGCTATAGGGCAAGGTTGTATATAGCGGCGATATGTTTCATGAGGATCCGGATCATTTGTTTGAAGGGCAGTGCAACCGAGTACCAGAACAGGAGTGGAACAGGTGTATGAATAATAATCAGACCATATTACCTTTTAAACGCTGTATTTGATTATTACCCCATATAAACCTGCTTCTTCAAGCTTGGTGACGGCTCGATGTCCGTGTAGAAACATCTGCAACAGCTTTGTCGTCAGCGGAACCTGCGTAGGAATGGGTTTAGGGTTTATACGTTTGTATGGGTTATATGATATAGATCAGATGCTGTACGATACTGCTGAGTGACAGTCTTTCAATGCTACAGCATGCAGGTTGGGTGCACGATCACGATCGATCTGGATTTTCCCGTCGAGGCAGCGCCGCTTCGATCAAGCAGGTTTTCCCTGAAGCCTAAAAGGGGCTGGATGGCTCCGGGTTCGATTCTTCATCCTAGGAGCTGGTCTTAAGATTTGTTTCCCGGGCTCTCCAATGAGATGTGTGGTCACCACATCCTGATATCAACAGTGGACCCTGACCTTGCTTTAAGATCAGAGGCCGATCCCATGTCAGGTTCAGCCCGACATCAAAACAAAGACGCACACCCTGTACACTGAACCAGTGCACTTGCATCTTAAGGGCACTTGGGAAAATCTATGCTTTTGCCTTTGGCTTCTTGGAATCCTTCTTAGCAGTCGGGTTCGCTTTCTTGATGCAACTTCGGATAGGCTCAGCCAGCTTCTTGAAATTCAAGAGCGCTTTCAATAAGGCCTCATGATGAATTGGAGCACATGTACATGCTGTATCGACTAGCAATTAAAAAGGCAGTCATGTATTAAGCTTGAGCAGAAGAACCTCGGTGGGAGCCTGCAAATCATCCTTCTTTTTGCCCAATGCGATAGCTACCGTGGCTTTGGCTTCCTTGAGGTCCTGCAGGGCGGGCGCGAGGTCGTCCATCATCGCATCCATCATTTTCTGGCCCCTGGGCTACTAGGGTTTTATTTCGGGACTTATAGGTTTCGGGTTTGGTGTTTTCGTGTTTGGGGTGTTCTGGGGCTTGATAGGCGACTGAATGCCCTGGGGAGAGAGAGAGAGAGAGAGAGACAGAGAAAAAGAGAGAGAGAGAGAGAGGGGCTTATAGACCTAGGTTTATGGGTTTTGTGGTTTCTGGGTTTATGGCTGAGTGCAGGGGCTCAGGTTTCGGGTTTGGGGTTGTCGGGTTTATAATATATAGGATTATATAAGTATTATAATTTACGATTTTGGGGTTTTGGCTGAGTCTTGGGGTTCAGGCTTCGGGTTTGGGGTTTTCGGGTTTCGGTGTTCACACTCGAACAATCCGGGGTTTAGGGATTTCGTGGTTTGGGGGTTTAGGGCTGAGTTTAGGGTTTTAGGTTTCGGGTTTGGGGTTTTCGTGTCTAAGGATCTATGGAGGCTTAAGGCTTTTGTGGTTTGGGGGTTCAGGGCTCAGTGCCCTGCAGAGATTATCAGGACTGTAATTCGTGATCACATCTGATATTGTGTCGTTCGAAAATATAATAAGACAAGTGGCACCCCCGCTTCCAAGAGGGCTGTCTCGAAACCTTCCTGCTCGGTGAGCTCGTTGTTGGCTTTGTTGTTGGCCTGCAATACTCGATATCTTCCTAGTATGGTTTGGCTGCAGGGTTGAGGATTCACGAGCCTGCTGGGCTTGCTGCTTCCATGTTTTTTCTTTCTTTTCTTTCTTCTCTTTCTTCTCTTTCTTCTCTTTACCGCTGCAGGTGTGGCCAGCATGCTGCTCGTCGAGCAGCTTTTCCCTCAGCTGGGCTGGGGGTATTAAACGGTTTTATTAGGTCAATTAAGGGTTTCAGGATATGGATCGGCCGTAGATGTAGACTTTCGGTTATTAGGGGTGCTAGGGGATAAGGACCCAGACCCTAGGAGGTTCGCCCGGTATATATGTGCACCACATGGGTGATTAGAAGCCCCAAAACCCTAAGACCCTGAACCCCAAAGCCCAAAACCCTCAGGAGACTCTATTATAAGCTTTTGGGTGCCGGTTCCCAGCGTGCATGTTTTGAGACTCTGATGATGCTTGTTCGGGTTTCAACCTCTAATAATATGCTATGAATACCTCCTAAACGCAGCTTTGGGGCATTGCATCAAACATGTCCTCTTCCTCGACTTGGGCTGTGCACTCAAACTCCGCTGAAGTCTCGAACTTCTTGCGCTTGTAGTCTGCAGTCCGGGCATAGTTCTTGTACCGATACATGTCCTGAGCTGCTATTGGGTTGTATTATTTTTGTACTATTTGGGGTCGGTCCGGAGTGTTGTGCAGTTCTCGCTTTGGGTATATAATTTGCTGGGCTTCAGGGTATTCAGGACATTTGGGGTGTCGGGGTTTAGGGTTTAGGGCTTCCCCTTAAGAACCCTATAGTTATTTAGGCCCTATATAATATACACACCACAAAACTAATCTTGGAGTAACATCACAAGAAATGCGAATGTCTCCCAAGTGACTTCTCTCAAAGGGAAGTCAGGATGCCTCGGGTACTCGAAAACATCTATATGGGGCAACGTATGGCTTATGTAAGACAGCTAGGACCCAAGAATACAATGTTTCGAAATATTGGTCCAGTTGGCTTTCTGATAAACCGTCCAGTGGCATTGGGATCCTCCTTCTTGTGGCGGGCCACTAGGTCGTCAGCTAGGTCCTGTCCTAATTCGTCCACCATACGCCGATAGCTCCAGAACTCGTACATGTCTTCGGATTCCTCCGAGTTTGAGCTCCTGCGTGAACATGCGCATACAGCTATATTAGTGTGCATAGGATAGGACATAACATAACACCGGCAAGTGTACCGTACATCGAATGCATGGCCTCATTCGCAGAATCAGGGTCGAGGATTCCCATGCACCCTTACACCCCAGGAAGTGCAAGTAGAGGGCGTGCATCTTTTGGTGACCTGGGCTGGTATCACTTCAGCAGGCGTCCGCAAGCGCATCCCCGTTCACGCGGCATGCGAAAGCGACACGGTCTCGACTACACGTCGACCGATCACGGAGCTTCTGGAAGACCTGCTGCACGCGTAAAAACGCGACTGCGGAGACGCTTGGAACATCAGGCTAAGCTCGGCAGGCGGATCGGGACAGCCTATATACTCGATTGACAATCGAGCTGTCTTAGCTTTCAAGCACTGCAACGCCGACTGGGCTCTATCCAGGAAATGTGCTGGACATCTTCATGCCAATTATTGCCAGTGTGGCTCTGCTTCGCATGAAACATGCCCTCAGTCACAAGCCGGTTCGCCCCGAACCTGTAAATTCTAATGCCCTTTCAAACCCGAAACTCTTAACCGCCCCCCGAAACCCTAAGCAACAACTCCGGACGCCCCTTAGGCCCAAAACCTTGAATCCCTGAACCCTATAAACCCTAAACCCCGAAACCCTAAGCAACATCTCTATTAACTCTAACCCCCGGCCCGCCCCCCCCCCAATGTGTTCAAGCTGCTGCCCTCCGCTTCCAGGCGTTTCTCCAAAACTTCCGGTGCCACTTCGCCGTCTAGGCCAGTGCGTGTTTAGGAATGAGCAATATGGGTTTAATAATAGATCTGGATTATATAGGCCTTCTATATATAATTAGGGTATATTTGCAACTTCAAGCTTGAAGCTTTGGGTGCCAATAAGGGTCGTCTTTGAAATCCATATAAGTATCTATATAGTTATATGTTTATAAAGTTCAATAGAGTAGCTAGGGTTTCATGTTATACCAAAATTAATAAGCAAGTTCCTTGCAATTGAGGGCTTAGAATGTGCACGTACGGTTTAGGCATTAACAGAATGGTATATGTGCATGGTATATTGCAGAAAAGTCACTCCTGATATTCCGGTAGAACCTCATGTACAGCGCATGTGGCTTGAGAAGCCGCCCACGCTTGTCACAGCGCCACTCATCTCCGGGACCACCCATCTTCTGCTCCTCCTTGACTTGGACTGGCTTCGTCGTTGCCGGGTCCTGCTGGTCTGTGTTCTTCGGGTCCTGCTGGTCTGTCTCCATCGGGATCGGCGCCTGCTGCTGCTCCGGTGTGACTGTGTTCTTCGGCTCGGCCTGCTGGTGGATCTTCGCGGGGATCGGCGCCTGCTGCTGCTCCGGTGTGACTGTGTTCTTGGGCTCGGCCTGCTGGTGGATCTTCGGGGGGATCGGCGCCTGCTGCTGCTCCGGTGTGACTGTGTTCTTGGGCTTGGCCTGCTGGTGGATCTTCGGGGGGATCGGCGCCTGCTGCTCCGGGGTGACTGTGTTCTTCGGCTCGGCCTGCTGGTGGATCTTCGGGGGGATCGGCGCCTGGTGCTCCGGTGTGACTGTGTTCTTCGGCTCGGCCTGCTGGTGGATCTTCGGGGGGATCGGCGCCTGCTGCTCCGCTGTGACTGTCTTCGTTGGCTCCTCCCGGTCCATCTTCGGGCGGCTCGGCTCTTGATCTTGGAGCGGGCATGCAGCAGGTCGGGACTGATCCAACCAAGACGTCTGCTGCCTGTTCAAGGCTGTATAGACCCGGTCCTGCTCGTTCTCATCCTTGCGGTCCGGCTCATGCGTAGTGTACGGTGCCAAATCCACCGATGGTCCACGCTGCAGCTCTTCGTGCCAATCCTCGTGGCTCCAGGACTTCCGTGACCAGGATCGGCCCCAAGGGCTAGTCCAGGAGTCCCAGCGGTCCCAGCTCCAATCGGTCCATGACTGAGAGCTCCAGCCCTCATGATGATCGTCCCACGACGAGCTCCAAGCATGCTTGCCTTGGTCATCCACCTGCTCGGCTTTGTCGTCCTCAGTGTCGATCTTCTCGTACTCTGCTTCCAAGAGCTCCTGGAGCTTGTTTGACAAATCATCATGTGCATCCAGCTGGGTCTCAATCTGGGTGTCACCTGCGACGCATGTAAAGAAAAACATAGTACACTGCTAGAGTAGAATTTAATACTAGTAGTACAGTAGTACTCCTAGTACTACTATATAACTAGCTAGCATATATATATATATGTATAGTAGTACTACTAGTACTAGTACTAGTACTAGTACTAGTACTAGTACTAGTACTAGTACTAGTACTAGTACTAGTACTAGTATTAGTACTAGTACTAGTACTAGTATTAGTACTAATACTAGTTCTAATACTAGTACTAGTACTAGCACTAGTACTAGTACTAGTACTACTACTACTACTACTACTACTACTACTACTACTACTACTACTAATAATAATATACCACTAGTACGAGTACTATACTAGTACTAGCCTACTAGTCTTACTACTACTAGTAGTCGTAGTAGCAGTACTAGTAGTACTATAGGATTGAATTTAGTAGTAGTAGTAGTAGTAGTAGTAGTAGTAGTAGTACTACTACTACTACTACTACTGTACTACTAAGCTATACTACTAGTACTACTACTATATACTTATTATATACCTGTGTATATATGTTTAACGAAATCGCTGGATCGGCAAAACACCCGGAGCCGCTGAAGCCCAAAGCCCAAAACCGTAGTACCTTATTATAGTCCCTATATATTATTAAACCCTTGCAAAGCCCCAAAACCCTAGACCCTTAAAGCTTTCGGACTTCGAATTCAGGGAAATGCATTTATCGGCAAGAGCCAAGGATTCCCCTTAATAAACCCAAAACCCTAGGCCCCAGGTGAGAGATTGAGTGTCGGGCTTCAGTGCCTGTTCGGACATGATGGTTAGGGTTTATAAGCTGGTGTGGCTCCAAGGATGTATATGTTCAACATAAGTAAGAAGTACTAGTTGTATTGAAATTACACTCCACGACCAAGCCTTCCAGGCCTTTGGCAGGGGTTGCAAAGAGCTGCTTAGCCGGTGTGGTTTGCGAAGGCTCCCGCTTTGGGATCGTAGGAGGCTCCGGGCTTGGCATCGGTTGGTCCAGGCAGGTCTCGGTCTCTGCATCTGGCTCCTCCGTGACCTTGTTCAGCGGTGTCGCCGGTGGCTTCCTGGGTGCTAGAATGCTAGAATATACTTGCCCCATATATATATAGGATTATGTATATAACTTATATACGTAAGTATTTTGTTAATAATATACATATTATAATATATATCTAGCATAATGTATAACTCCTGGGTCTATACGGGTCTCGAGCAGGGCATCACATTGAAAGAATCGAGTGTAATCCTGGGCCCCTGTACATAATGTAGACTTCGGAAAACCTGCAACACATGGTATATTCTATTGGCACCTAGGGTTTTCAGCGCCCCCTCCTAATAAGAATCGGTGCAGGCATGTGTCAAGAAAGTGCTGGCTTCTGCCACTTCCTCGGTCTTGCTCTTCTTCTGGTAAGGGCTGCGGATGGGTGTCCTGGGATCATGCGTTATTGCAGGTGCCGGCATGTATACTGATAAATTTTCGAAGAGTTATGTATATTGCACTGCGACTGAGCATCGATTTAGCTGTGCCCGGTGTGGGTGGCATCGACATCTTCTCATCCGGGGTCTCTGCTGGTGCTTGTTCTGCTTCGGGGGTCTTTGCAGGAGTGGCCGGGGCAGCTTTCGGGGCAGCTGGCTTCGGTTTCCCCTTCACTTTAGCCAGCAAAGCAGCTGCCGCAGCCATGTCCTGCGACACGTAGTTCGCGCGCTTTCCCATCCTGTGCAAGGTTATTTTCGCTTAGGGAGCCCCACAAGGAATTCACGGAACCATTCCTTATTTCACGGTTCCAAGCCTTATTTCACGGTTCCAAGCCTTATTTCACGGTTCCAGCCCGAATTTCACGGACGCCTTTTCTAGGCCCCAAAGCACTTGAACGCGGAAATACCCGAAGCGCAAGCCCCAAACACCGACATTTACGCAATATGGCCGCATGCCTTAGCTATTTGAACCGCTCATGCGCAAATCTGCAATCGAGAGGTCTAGTGACTCGGCACAAATGCCCGGATAACTGGGTTTCACCTACACATTGGGCATACACGTTGATATTATGTGACTGTTACCACGGATTGGCACAGTCAATCTACATTATAGATATAAAATTATAACATGTATGTATGTACATGTAAACATAAATAGCAAATGTATCTATGTAGCTATATAACTACATGTTCCATGTATACATATATGTGGCAAAATATCTAGATCTTGACATAGTATATATACATGCATACATATATATATATATATATATACATACATACATACATACATACAAACATGTTACTTACGTGTGTGTATAAATGTATACATACATATGTGTACATATATATATATATATATATAATATTGTATATATATATATATACAGATAAGTAGGTAGATGCAACACATATATAGGTAGCTATATAGTTTATGTATTATTAAACCCATGCATTGCCTACCCAGGCTTTGGTAATGGTCCAACGAGCAAGCACAGTGTGCGGAGCCAGGAATTACTCCGGGGTTCGTGGCTTTTAATCTTAATTAGGGTTTAGGTTTCAAGGGTGGTTCTAGGGTTAAGGGTTCTCTAGCAGGATTATAATTGTAGGGTGCATGCTTGGTTGTTAAATTGATCTAGAGGCTGATCTCGATTCCCAGTTGGGGTCCTCCTTGGGCTTGTGGGGTCATTATAGGGTCTCTATATAATTAGGGTAGAGTCGGGGTAGGTATAAATTAAATGTGAGTCCGAGTCGTCCTTTTCCTGAACAGCAGATTGCGGCACCACATGCCATAGTTTGTGCTTTGCATAGTCGTGCACGATCTTGCACGAGGGGATGAAGTCTGGGTGCTTTCCATCCCATAATATTCCTAGTCACATCAGATTAATTACGGCGGCCCAGGTAGATATGCATGACGTCGGAAAGATTGGCAGTGATATAGTGTCATTTCAATCTCGGTGCGAAGTAGCTAGCATCGGACTGTACGTAGGTGTTACAAAACACCCGGGCCCCGTCTAAGAGTTGTCTGCATACAGCAGCCATTCACATGCCTCGGAAATATCCCGAATTACATTGCCCTCGAATGATCTCCTTTTCAGAGTCTTCGGTCTAGCATAGGCTTCGGGGGATAGGCTTGGTGTACCATCCACGTAGCGAAATCTTCGTTATATGGGAAGACTAGATCAGCCATGCATTCCAATCCCAAGGACAGCCTCGGGGCTGTGGGTTTAGGATTTCTTCTAAAGCATTTCTAGCAGTCAGGCTTCTGATTGGAGGGTGTCAAAGACAACACAGCTACAGGAAGGCATGTTACATTATTATACATATATATATATAGCTAGGCATGATATCTAGAGCTAGGGTTTGTAGTGCTTCGAAGTTGGCGAGCTCGCCCGAAAGATGGAGATCGATTTCCGAGAGGGGATGAAGACCGACTGTGGTGTGAGTGCACTGGCCACGAAACGGCTGTGGGCGGACACGATAGACATCCAGTCACTAGCCCAACTGCTTTCGCAGAGGCTCCCCCAACTACTTTCGCAGACGACACCCTAGTACCCTCGATTTCGAAGGGGTGCGCCACTGTCTGCGGCGGAACTTCAAATCCTTGGAGTCACTACTGGTCTGCACTGCAAAGACGACTTCTGTGGAGACCCATGATCGGGACATCTCTTGGGGCTATATGCCAATTCTATTCTAAGCCCTGCACCCTAAACCCATATACCCCAATGCTGCCTTACACCGACATCCAAACTCACTCCGTGTGGGCTGAACATAATATTTTCATAATACTATCGATCAGCAAGCTATTAGACCCTAAGAGTCCCGAAACCCAACATCGCCAAGCAAAACCCTAGACTCTCAAATCGAAATCGTCAGATCAGCAAGACCCTGACAATCCCCAAATGAACACTAAAATTAAAGCCTCAAGACCCTATCGACCCTTGAGTCTTATCTTTGCGAGGTGTATTCAGATCGCATCATCGGCAAGAGCAAAGGATTTCCAAAATTCAGTACCCGAAAACCCAGACCCTTAAAGCCTTATCGTTTGGGACTTATAAGCCCAGTCGTACATCACTCCAGGAGTCCCTAATATAAATCCCTAATATAACCACATCACCCTACTGCCAGCCCCTAAACCCAAAACCCCAAAACCCTAGACCCTTAAAGCCTCCGGGTTGAGGGAAATCGTTTCAAGTTTCATCGGCAAAACCAATAGAGTCCCTAAACCCAAAATACACCTAGATCCTTAAAGCCTTGTCTTTAGGTGGAAGTGCGAATGAATCATCTGATCGGCAAGATCTAGGCCGAAGAGCCCCCATTAAGCCAAAAACCCAGGTGCTACACCCTCAAACCAATAACCGGCGAGATCACCCCAGGATTAGAATCCCAAAATCCCAAAGCCCTAGTGGTATTTCATCAATCCCATAAACCGCCGAAACCCTGGACCACTAAAGCCTTATCAGGGAACTTCAGCGAATTCATCTGAAAGGCAACAGTCGAGGAGCCTCTAGGATCTATATTATATAACCAAAACCCTACCACCCAGACCCTTGAGGCCCTATCTGTAAATCGTATCCCTATTCATAAAGCCTTAAACCCAGACCGTCGCAGCCTTACTTAATATCCTGTCGTGGTTCAGCGGAATCATCTGGGCAGAACTGTAAAGCTGACATAGAAGTTTCCATATATATTACGTGTACTGTATACGTAGTTACTGAACCAGCCACAATTCCCGCCTTGACTCGAAGGTCTGCTTCTCGAGAAGCAGGATGGCCAACGATGGTTCGGAAGGCCAGGCAAAAGTCGTGATCTCGAGCAAGCAGCAATATGTCGAGAGTCTTCCATAGGGGCTACATAGGGCTGATGCACATCATGAGGTGCATGATACAACGAACGATCACTGAACATATTGTGACATGCACATTTCAGCGCCGGGGAACATCAGGACGAGCGCTAAAACTAATTGGTTGCCATCTTGTGTGCAACTGTGACATCAGATTGACCTAGGGGTTAGGGTTTAGGAGGCCTAGGGTTTAGGGTTCAGGGTTCGGGGTTTCAGGCTTAGGGCTCATGGCTTTTAAGGGGTATATAGGGTTTGGGGCTTCGGGGCTTACGCTGATTTTTGGGTACCTGTAGACTCCAAAACCCCTGAATAATGGAATCCTATATCTAGATATATATATATATATATATCTAGATGGTGTATATATTTATACATATATATCTATTATGTGTATATATACAATAAATACACACATTCCTTAATCAGTGGTTTTGGAGTCTCTAGCATAGGTATAGGTGAGGGTTTAGGCCTTAAAACTGGGCTGCGCAAGCATCCTCGTAGCACTCGATTCTACACAGACTCACACAAGATGGACGAGCAGGCCAAGGCGAGGTCAGTATTTCCTGGGTTTTTTTGTTTCTAATTCGGGCTTACGGAACCCTCGAGCTAAGATCTAGGACTCCATAGCTATAGACCCAGGAAAGAAAGGACCGGCTTTGCATGCTGTTGCACGAGCTTGAAGTAGATGGGCCAGGCAGGCTAGACATTCCTATGCCAGGGGTAGGGTTTCGGCTGTAGTGGATCCGGATCTAACCCATCACCCCAAGAAACATTCGGTGACACAGACACGATCCGCCGTCAGAGGCACTTTGAAGTACTTCCTTACCCATTTCCCTTGTCGTTCAGCATCAAGCAAAAATTCGACAACCGGCTCCTTGCATCGGCAGACAAGCATGCACAACAATGTAATGTCACCTCCAAGCTTCATTGTCTGCACCACACTTAAATGCAAGTTAGGCTCAAGCAAAGCATCCTGCCAAAGCAGCTTCTGCTCCTCGTAATTTGGGTGCAGAGGTGTCTGTAGCGTTTTAAATAATATGTTTCTGGGGATGATCCCGAAAAGCATAAAACACTTGCCCAAAGCCCCAATTCGAAATTGTTAGTGCTATAATAGGTACATGTATAGCTAAGTATAGCAGTTCACACTTTACCAGAATTGTCAAGTGTTCTTCTAGGGATATTGGAGGATGGCACGTGTCGTCCAGTGTCTGGCTGTCTGATCTAGCTGCATGCCAGGCCATGACTCCCTGATGGATGGTGTCTCTTGAGAGGGTTTAAGGTTTCGTGTGTAGGGTTTTGACCGTACAGACGACCTGACCCAAAACCCCTAGCATAAACTAAGGGACTCAGCAGAAAAAGCTCAACAAGGTCTATTGATCTAGCATGTTTGAATAATGAGGCAGCTGTATAGTAGCTCTGGCTATGGTGGGTATCGGGTCCTAGAACATGATCAGCGACATATATATATATATAGCAGGGTCCATGCATATCTAGACACGACGGGCCCGGTTCTAATTGCATATGTAATAAACTGATGAGGTCTTCAGAACCCAAGCTTCGGTCCTAAAGTCCCGGCCTCCCCCAGCTCCGGAACGTATTCGTTCGCCAGGCTGTTGTCGGGCATCGACGGTCTGGTGTTCTCCTGAGATCTTAGAGTGTGGGGGTCGTTATGGGGTGGTTTATAGTAGAAGCCAGAAAGTTGGAACATCAGACTATATAAATAAGGGATTCTAGCACTAATCCTCCTAAAGCCATGTTCCAACTTTCTGGCTTCTACTATATTAGGTTTTGCAGTTCAATGCCTGAGGGCCTTGGGGTGGGTTTGCTTAGTGGCCGGGGCGGTTTAGGATTTTTAAGGTTTTGTGGTTTCGCGCTCAGACACGGGACACTCGCCT